AGACCGTAATTATTGCGCAATATTTCGGGCCGTAATAACTTACGTAAAATTACGTTAATATATTTCGCTGATGTATGAGATATTCTGAATTTACAACATTTACTAAAGAAAAATTTGGTCAAGATGAATCTGTAACCTTGTTTATTAAGTTGGTTAAATTTCGCAAAAAAACCTCACCATACGATAATGAAGTTATTTGGAATTCAGCAACATCATTTACTCCATCGTTATGGTGGCAATTATGGTCATATAGTAATCTTCAACAAATGGCTATCAAAATTCTTTCTATTCCTACATCTTCAGCAGCTGCAGAATGAAACTTTTCTACATTCAGCTTTATTCATAATAAAGTTCGTAACAGGTTGCTTAATGATCGTGTTAACAAGTTGGTCTATTTGATGGAAACCTTCGAATGCAAAAAAAATATATAAAGTGTAAAATTAATATATCCAGTAGTAAGTACAATACTAGAACTGATCAAGAAACTAATTGTGATAATAGTGATAGCGATGAATTATTCGATAATGGATTTGAAACGAATGTAATAGATTTGACAGCCAATGAAATATAAAATCTAATAATATTATACGAATAAATCTTGATTTTTAATCACGTGTTATTATAAGTTATTATACTGTTATTATACTGTTATTATACCATATAATAACCGGTTATTATACCAAAAATATATTATACTGTATAATTACATCCCTACTGATAATACAAGAATAGACAAGTGAAAATATGGTATTGATAATTGTATTAAAAAATTTCAACTTAATAATAAAATCCAACTATTTTGCTATCTTTATTTTAGAAATTTCTATTAGACAAAGAGCATTTGATAGAATTTCGTTTAATGGTGATCTTGTATCAAGAATAATCGGTAAATGTATCTCTATTTCAGCAATTCTACTGGACAAAGAGCATTTAATGGAGTTCTGTTTAATAGTAATTTTGTATCAAGAATAATTGATAAACCAGACCTTGGCATTTCTATTTCAGAAATTCTACCGGACAAAGAGCATTTGATGGAGTTCCGTTTAATAGCGATCTTGTATCAAGAATAATCGATAAACCAGACCTTGGTATCTTTATTTCAGAAATTCTATTAGACAAAGAGTATTTGATGGAGTTCCGTTCAATGGTGATCATATATCAAAAATAATTGATAGCTTAGGTCCTGAGGATAAAGACTTTGATAAACAACCTACTGTAATAGAAACTATTGAAATAATTACTCGTTAGTTAAATAAAATAGATCAAGAAGCTGATAATACAAGAATGGACAAGTGAAAATATGGTATTGATGATTGTATTAAAAAATTTCAACTTAATGATAAAATTTTACTATTTTGCTATCTCGATTTCAGAAGTTTCTACCAGACAAAGAGCATTTAATAGAATTCCGTTTAATGGTGATCTTGTATCAAGAATAATTGGTAAACATATCTCTATTTTAGCAATTCTACTAGACAAAAAGCATTTGATGGAGTTCTGTTTAATGGTGATCTTGTATCAAAAATAATTAGTAAACGTATCTCTATTTTAGAAATTTTACCAGACAAAAAGTATTTGATAGAGTTCTGTTTAATGGTGATCTTGTATTAAGAATAATCGGTAAACGTATCTCTATTTCAGAAATTCTACTGGACAAAGAGGATTTGACGGAGTTCCATTTAATGGTAATCTTGTATCAAGAATAATCGATAAATGTATCTCTATTTCAGAAATTCTACTGAATGAAAAGCATTTGATGGAGTTCTGTTTAATGGTAATCTTGTAGATAATTAGCTTGAATTGATTTCTACATAATACAGTAATGGTAAATAACTGTTAGTACTATTAATACGTTTTCTGTTTTTTTGTCTACAATTAGATTATTAATACGAATGAAGTCAAATTAGGCTTCAACAAGCATAACATAATTCTAATATAAACCTTATTTGAAATAGATATTTGGCAGAAATAGGAGACCTTTAGAATACTAATCTGGTTCATATAGGCGTTCTATATATATCGAGATGCCGATAACTTTATAGATAAATTAATAAAGCTATTAGGCAAGCTTTATTGATTTACTTATAAAGCTATTGACATTTCGATATATATTGAATGCCTATATGAACCAAAGGTCTTTTATTTCCACCAAATATCTGTTTTCAAATAAGGTTTATATTAGGATTATATTATGTTTATTGGAGCCCAATTTGCCTTCATTTAACTTGTAGAAGTTATTTGGATAAATAATTAAATTTTTTTTTAGACCTACTTGCTGAATTTAAAATAAACATTAATGTATTGCTTAAAAATAAATTATTTTGCAATTTGCAGATTTCTGATTTTAAAGTTTTTTTTTGCAAAATTAGAAAGTTGTAGATTTATTATTTTGTATTTAGAAATATTATATAATTTTAAAAAATTGATTTTTTTGTTAAATATATAGTATATATATTTTATAGTTATAATAAAATTTAAAACTTGTATAAAAAAAACATTAAGATAATAATTTTTAGTTATTAGAAATATTTTTTTTAAAAAAATATATATAGTATTTAGGGTTGGTCAAATTACTGGTCAATCAAAAATTCGTTAGTCAAGCTAGTTTGGTCAAATTGGTCAAGTGGTCTGGTTAAATTGGTCAAATAGTCTAGTCTATTAAATAAATAAATTTAGTATACAAAGTAAATACATATATAAATACATATATATATATATATACTATATATTTAAATATCCTTTGACCAATTTGATCAATGCTAAACCCTTTGACCAACTGGTCAGATTGGTCAAACTGGTCTGGTCAAGCTTAACCATTGACCGGTCTGTGCCAACTCTGATAGTATTATATATATATTTACTATATAGAGCATTATTGACTTAGTAAAATTAATAATTTTCTGAAAATTGTAACACAAAGTAAAAGAGGTAATTAGTGCTCGGCAAAATCAAACAAAAACTCGATTATCAAGTTTTTGAATCTATCAATTTACAATATTGTGTATTATATACAAATTTTTATATATAAATTTAACAGGAATCTGATTTTACTTTAAACTTTGTAGTAACTAATATGAAGTTTAAAGTCAGATTAGAGTAAATATGGATTTTATAATTGAAACACAATACTATAATCGATAGATTCAAAAACTCGATAATTGAGTTTTTGTTTGATTTTGCCGAGCACTAATTGTAATATAGGTGTTATCAATTAAAATTTATTAATTTTTATTGGCTATACTAAGTAGATTGTTACAAATAACATGTTATAATTAAACATTTTCTAATTTTTTATTTTTTTATTTTTTTTTAATTCTTTGACAGTCTTGCTAGTGCTCAATTTATTTAAGACTATATTTAGGTGAGAGTTAAACTCTCT